CTCTGTAGTAGTTGGGTATACATGCATAAAACAAATACATTTGGGACATTGATTGAACAAAATTAACTTTAGATGGACAGTAGAAGTACATAAAAACGATGCACAGAACATGGTTTGGCCCTGAGGTCATCTTGTAGCTCCAGTTGTTTCCTGCACAGCTGTTGCACCAACTTGATACCATGAACATTCAGATAAGCACCCCTCAGGAGTGACCGGGGGAGTGCTCCGCTTAGACGGGAATGGAGCTCATCCGCTCTCATAGACTTGTCTGGAAAGGGGTTTTTGGCCTCAGGCTATGGTCTTCATTCCAGAATCTAAAAGCCCAGGGTGAAGATGAGTGGCTGGGGGAGCCACAGTTGGTGAGGAACTGGGAACAAAACCTTGTGCTCCTGATCAGGGCCCTGGACTCTTCCTCATGGACCTTGTATACATCTCGCAGAGATTTCCTTTAGAAAGTTTTTGGCCATACATTATTAAGTGTGATCTTAAACATTTAAACTTTAGTACAAAATTTTCATGTTGCGGACTGAGCAAACTTGTAATTAGCGCCCACATCTGAAAAGCTATGGCAGCACAGTAATCTACCACCATCCATGCCCTTTATAAGCAAGGGCCCTATAAACTGTAATTAAACAGCTGACCATTACCGCAGCTGTGGTGGCTTAATGTCCTATTCAGTCGGGGCTGTTATTCAAAGTAGCATAGACTGAGCAGCCCGTAAATATTTAGGCATTTGTTTCTCATAGTTTTGGAAATTGGAGTTCATGGTCAGGGGGGAGCCTGGTTGGGTTCTGCTGAGACCACGTTCCAGATTGCAGACTGCTGATCACCCATCGTGTCCAGAGTGACGAATCTCATTCATGAGGGCTCCTCCCTCACAGCCTAATCACCTCCTAATAGGATTTCACACAAATGCAAACAGTCCATGCATTTGGTAATAGGTCAACCCGCTAGGCTGAACTGCATTCTCTAGACTTCCCTTCTGTATTTGTTTATGATTAGGGTGAGCTCCAAGAGAGATTCTTACGGGATATTTGGAGGACAAATGTGAGACAACTGCTGCTTTTAGTGCGCATGTGGACACACACACACCCGCCCCATCACTGTGTGCTAGCTCGCTCTGCTGGCATGAGACAACAGCTGGCCCTTCCACCCTCCCCTAGGTCACCTCCAGCTTCTCTAGTCCCAGCCATCACCAGATGTGTATGTATATTTAGCTCCATGGTAAACGAGCTCTTTCTGTAAGATACCACACCCCCAGCACCAGAGGCAGCACTTGCTGACAGGCCTTCTGTCCTCGTGGGCTTGGGTTTGCTGCTTCCCACTTAGTCTTTCTTCTTCTGGCTTCTGCTGGCCTTGTAGACATTTAGTTTCAGCATCAGGAAATAGTCTTATAGGAAACGGTCTTAGCAAAGAGAATAGTCTTACAAACACCGCTTAACCAGCCCCACCGCTGTATAATGTCAAATTCCTGAGATAGATATTTTATAGAACCTCTTAGTTCTATGTTTCTGACTGGCACACCTGTGTCCCCCCAAAGCCACCGTTTCATTATCACTTCATTGGTTGCTTAGGCAGTTTCTGGCTTACAGCAGAGCATGTGTCATCCAGAATCCCACCCTCTAGAATCCTGTGTCTTACACAGGAGCTCCATACCTCAAAGAATCAAGGTAAATGAAGTGCCCTTTTCTAGTGATGATGCCACCATCTAACATCCAGCAACAATAGACTACCCTAGAGCACTGAGGGACAGAGCAGAAGGAGATAAGGCAGAGGGCAGGACAAGGGCAGGGGACAGTGTGAGGACTCCACTCTTGGTGGAGGTGGATCCTGAGTGGAGAACAGAAGCTAGAACTCCTCGGGCCTTTGAGCAGCAGCAGCAGCAGCAGGTCTTTGTAAGCTGCCATGCGGTGTTCCTGTGCCTTATGAACCGCACTAACCATTTACTGTACACAGAGATTGCTGTCCATGTGCCACCCACAACTGGCACAGGCAGTGTCACTTTGGAAATGCAGTCCCATCTTCCTGGCAGCCCCAGGTGCCAATAATTCAAAGTATTACTCAGAATATAAAAAAGTATTGAAGATGATATTTCAAGTGATGTTGATTTGTCACCTAGACAACCTACGAGCAACTGTCAGTCTCTCAGTGTGAACCTGAGAGTTTTTAAGGTTCCATATACTTGCAGTTCTCTTAGAAGCCAACTCCAAAGGAGGGGTTGGAGGAGGCCACCTACAAGGGAGTCCCCTTGGGCTCCATTGATCCTTTTTTTTGAAGGTAGTAAAGTACAACAGAACAAGACAGAACAAAGCCAGTTGAGACAGTGCAGTGAAATTGGTACAGAACTTCACAGCAGGTTACCGGGATAACAGTAATAGCTAGCATAGTATATCTCGTTATCTTCACAATGGTTGTCCTTTCAATCAGGTATTGCAAAATCAGTCCAAATACAGAACGTTATAAAACCTATCAAAACAGAGTATTGAATACAGTTCATCAAAACAAAGCAAAACAGTGATAACAATACTTGCCTTCAAAGAGATGGTAGAAGGAAATCCCCCCTATTTGCTGTATTGCATACAGTCATCCTCCCAAGAGATGCTCAGACCTCTGCTTCCCCTTTGCTAAGGTGCAGTGGGAAATAGGATGTTTGATTCTCAGCCCGCAGGCCGGTAGGCTCACGGCTGCTTACCAGGGAAGCGAGCGGGTTGCTTTGTTGCCCAGCTCCCTAAGTTCCAACAGTCTTCACTGATCTTTAGAATAAACCCACAAACTTTGAGGTGTGGAGGAAACACGTCTTGTGAAGAAAGGATGAGAGCAAACTTTGCACAATGTGTCTCTGGCCTGAGTGTTGTGGGCTGACAGTCAAGAGGCTTCCCCATGGGCAGTGATGATCCAGAAAGTGAGAGAAACTCATAGGAAGAATACTCCAACTTCACACTCACTGGGTAGTTGTGCTCTTATACCTGTATCTTAGCATAGGTGGTTACCTTTTAGGACTAAAAGGTGAGAACCCTAAAAGCAAAGAGCCTCCTTGACATTTGTTTGCAGGGAGGGAGGGAGGGAAGAAGGGAGGGACAGACAGTCCCTTGCTCTGTAGTTCAGCCTGGTCTTTAATTCACTATGTAGCCCCAGTTGGCCTTGAACTGCAGGTGATCCTTCTGCCTCAGCCTCCCGGATGCTGGAATTACAGGTGTGCACCACCATGCCTAGCCCTTGTTGAACTTTTATTTAAAGAAAATATTTTCCCCTCAAGTCACAATACCTCTTTCTCATAAGCATCTCTTTCTTTGCATTTTCATCACTATGGCACCCAGACAGGGACAGCCACCTTCATGATAGTGTTCCCTGAGCATCATAAATAGCCTATCCATCCTTATTGTGGTCCAATCAGGAAGGCAGTAAGGTCCCTCAATACACTGTTGGTGTGAGAAAGCATCATCGCTTTAAGAGTTTTCCTAGCTCTGATTCCCACATTCCGCCCTGTGTTCCTGTGGAGCTCTGGATGGAAGTCATTCTTTTCATCTCACTTGATACCTGCTTTGGGGTAGCTGCTGTTCCAGCCATATCGACATCACCAGAAAGGAGGCTGATGCACCTGTTAGTGAATCTTGAAACATTTGCTATCCACAAGCCAGGCTAAGGGTTCCAAAGGGCTAAGATTTTACTCTGCTTTTTAAAAATGGAATACATTAGGATAAGCCTAATTGGAAAAAGAAATGCCTTACAGTGAATTCATGTTGATTAATGAATCACCTCTGCAGCATTTGCAGTTAGAAAAAAAAAAAAAAACATTCTCAAACAGTGCTGGGGGCTTGGAGTCTCCATTCCCGAGTGTCCTGAGTGTGTACCCCAACTCCCACACAGGTGCTGGGGAATGAACCCACAGCCTTCTCACTGAGCTGCATCCCTAGCCCTTGTTCACTATTTTATTTTATTTTATTTTATGTTATTTTATTTTATTTTGAGACAGGATTCCCCCAAGTAGCTAAGTTGCACAGACCGGGCTCAAACTTTTAACCTTTATACCTCAGCCTCCCAAAGTGTCGAGATTACACACATGCGCCACCATGCCCAGCTCCTCTAGTTCTTTATAAAGGGTGTGATAAATTATTGTAAACTCTATTCAGTCTGCTTCTCTGCAGTTCACTAGTATTTAATTGAGTGCAGTTATCAGACCTCCTTCTGTCCTCCCAAACTCCTAGCCTCTAGCAGCCACTATTTACTCCACTTACACAGTGGCAGCCTTTTTAGCATCAACATGTGAGCACTGTGGATGTGTTTTGCTCCTGGTCTCTTTCCTTCTGCTGCACTGTGATCTCTTTTTAGCCATATCTGCCAGTGTTTGTCTGTATAAAACATGATTCCAAATACACCATTTCTTTCTGGAGAGAATTAGCAATCTAGTGTCCTCAGAACTACTTTTTCGCCTTGAAAGTAGAAATTAGCACAAGCTGGGCAAAAAAGAGAAGGACAAAAAGAGATACAAAGTTTAAGATGCTGCTTACTCTACATAGTGTTAACATAGTTGTTCTTGTTACTTTTGTTGTTTTTCTTCATTGCAATCTTGTTTGTTTGGAGTGGCACCAGGGATTAGACCCAACGCCTCTTGCATACTACACAAGTGCTCTACTACCAAAATGTCCCCCAGCCCTCTTAAATACTCTTCTGTACTAGAAAACCGGAGTCTTATCTATACCAAGCTTATAGAAAGAGGACTTTAGACTCTCCCGAAATTTTTTTCTAAGGAAAGATAATTACTTTAATAGCTGCCCTCAAGGAAAAATGCAGATGAGGGTAAAGCTGTCCCAAATTAACAATTAGACAAATCTAAGGATTATAGCACAGGAGGAATTACAGTCCCTTTTCAGAAATGCCACATCTCTGCTAGAAACTGAATAAACGTGATTATAGCTATATATGTTTTGACCCACGGTCCTGCAGCTGTGAACATACGACCCTCACTGAATCAGCCCTCTCCGTGTCCTTGTCCCCAACAGCGCAAATCTGTCCAAGGCCGCATGGGGAGCGCTGGAGAAGAACGGCACCCAGCTGATGATCCGCTCCTACGAGCTCGGGGTCCTCTTCCTCCCATCAGTGTTTGTGAGTTTTCCCTTCTAACCGTCTGTTTGGCCACATGGGAAAGGAGTTGACTTTGCTGTTCCCAGCTTTCTACTTTCAGTCCCAGTGACAGGCCCAAGGTCAGCAGATGGCAGGGCAGAATGCCAACCCAGAACCTGTGCCCTTAACCTCTGGGCTGCGCCTAGGAATTTACTACTCGTCAGGTATAGCGGGAATCCCAATCAGATTGACCAGTGAAGTTAATCTGAATATTGAACTAAATAAGTGTTGGGAAACAGATGTGAAGCTTTAGCACCAGGTGGTAAATGGTGAGTCACCAACAGAATGCACCATCCAAGCATGGACATTGTAGGTGAGTGTAATTGGAGGACTTAGTTGGGCAGCAGAGGCCGGAGGATGGAGGGAAGAGCACAGGGCTAAAGGATGAGGTTGAGAGAAGAGCAGAAAAAGCATCGCACCCAGAAGAGGGAGGGGCAGCTGCAAAACTGGGAAGCAGAGAAGCTTGAGTCATCAGGTAGTTGCAGGGTTAGCAGAGAACGTGCGTGCGGTGCCTCTGAGTCCCTGGAAAAGGACCACGTTGGAAGCTGTCTCTCAAGATGGCCAGCACAGATGCTCATCTCCCAGGTTTGGAATCATGCACAGCTCCTGCAGCCGAACACCAGATGAAGTGGCCTGCTGGCATATGAGGACCATCTTGTACAAGCCATATGTTGCTCTAGACACTAGAATCACATTGGCCCAGGGAGGCATATTCCCATCCCCAGCACTGAGAGGCTCGGATGCCCAGTTTCTCCCATCCTACTTCCTCACGCACACTCTGGGCTGCACTCATCAGTGGGATGCAGTAAGAATGGCCCACGAGATAGCTGGTGCTTTTTTTTTTTTTTTTTCTTGCTCTTTTCCCTTTTATACCATTTACTATAACTAAATATAGGTTAAGACACATGACACAGCTCCACTGTGAGCCACTTTGCCTGAAAGCGGATTTAGCTAAGGGGATGCTCTGTGCTTGTCTGTGGACCTGAATTGGACAGTAACACATGGGATTCAGTCTCAGGGGTGCTGGAGAACACCTTCCCTCCCAGCTGGCCCTGAAGGTCTCACTGATTATCTGTCCTCACCTTGCTCTGGGAAGCGACTCTTCCCTCACTCTCGCTCTCCTCTCCTTGCCAATCTCTATCCTCTTTCTCCTCAATGCGTTCACTGCAAATCTGGATAACTGGCCTGTTGAGGGTGGAGTTATGCATGGTTCAGCCCATTTTGTTTCCTTCTTACAGAATAAAGCAAGGAGGTGCATAAGCTGCTTACAGCTAAAGGCATCAGCTTTGGCAGCCCTGGAAGGTAGATGGTTAGCTGCTTTTTAGGCAGGGATGTGCCTTGAGATTCCCTAGTGAGAGGGGGGCGTAGTCCCAAGACTGATCTCACGATCTCTTTGTGATCTTCCAAATTTATCACAGCTTCTGGGAAACAGTGAGCCCACAACTCTAGGATCACAGTATTCAGTGTTGTGCTGTGATTATAGTGACTGGCATTAAACTGAGGCTAGAGTGATCTCCAGTAGTAACTTTAGTAGTGGAAGATTCCATGCCATTCTAGTTTGGCTTTTATTAGAAGGATTTAAAAATTCTGCTCTTTTATAAGTAACTGTTCTGCCCTGATCCTTAGTAATGAAAAGGTTAATAGGAAAGAAATATATTGCCCTTCCACACCCTCTAGGTTCTTCTCAGCTGCTAATTTTTAGCTCAGATATTTATTCTATGTATACCAGGGAAGGATAATAGATGGAAAAAATAGAAATAACTGCTTAGAATATGCAAATTGATTTTATATTGGCCTCTTATTTCTACATTTTTGGAAAAAGAAACCCCCTCCCCATAGCACACTTGAAGTAAAATAGAGATTTTATTTATGAAGTCATCAGGCAAGAAAATAAAAAAAATAAATTCTACCCCATTTGTATTATACCAAAAGATTCAAGAGATAAGCCCCAACCAGGATAGCTAGATGATTCATTGTTACATTTGAGAGTGAATCTTGCTTAGCAAGCGTGAAGTTGTGAGTTTGATCCCCAGTACCAAAAAAAAAAAAAAAAAGATTGCATTTGTCATTCTAAATCTTTCATAGATGTATCAAGAACAGTGTGGTACTGGCCTAATTCTGTGACCATTTATGTATTTTCTGTATGCTTTTTCTATATCTGGAAAACTGAAGAGAGAGATAACAAATAAGAGGAAAAAAATAAAATAGGGAAAGAGACAGATAAATAGCACTGAATATATATGCCAATCAGCTATCTAAAGGAGAAATTCCTTATAGCCTTTCAATGTATAAATTTAATCTAATTCACTGTTTCAGGTATATCAAGTAAAATATATAAAGTCCAAGTTAGAAAGAAAAGCAAGCACATAAGCAACCACACTAAGAAGGCAACGAATTCTCCTACAGTGTGTTGGCTTGTCTTGAGCTACAGAGCCTGGAGCTGTACTTTACAGCTGCTTCCCCCTAACAGTGGTGAGGACCCACAAACTGTCTTGTTCCCAGCCGTTTTCCCATCTCACTGAGCTGCCCTTCAGTTGTCCTAAATGACTTGGGCGAGGTGCAGAAGTTAGGTGTTGTGACACGTACTCAGAAGTGTGTGACTTTGGCCCTCCCATGGACTTGTGGTTCATAAATGTCAGAGAAGCACCCTGTACATGCATAGTCAGGGAGGCGAGCACCCCGGGGGAGCATAACCTAAGGCGAGAGGGCCTTAGTGTTCTTTGAGTTGTTACACAAACAGCAGTTGAAGTCCATAAAAAAGGAAGAAACTGTTGAAAAATACTCGGGAAATTCATAGAATCAAATCATTGAACAGCAAAGATACGGAGAGTGGGCCAGGCCAGCTCTGGGGACTTTGTAGCCCACCTTCTCCCTATCACTGCAGCCTTGGCTCCGAGTCCCAAAGGCTGACCACCCAGCACTTCGGGCAACTTCTCGGACTTCAGCTATTCACTTAATAAATGCCTGGTAGAGTTCTCTCTTGATCTTAAACTTAAAATGTGTGCTGTCAAGAATGCAGAGGCAACGTGTTTCTTTCTTTCAATTTCCCCTTCAATATGAGTTAGACAGGGCTTTTGATGCTTCTAGTTACACCTTTGCCAAAGAGATTGGCCCTGTGGAGGTCCCGGCCCTCCTTCAGGCTGGACGGCATCCAGAATCCCTTCTCAGGACCATCCCCTCCTGCCTTCTGGGCAGAACTCCATGTCTCTGCCACCCACATTTCTGAGTTATCAGCACCCAGAGCTACCTCCTTTGTCCTTCACCAGAGACTGTCCGGATCACTGTGTCCTGAACAGTGACCTGAGACCAGCATTACAGTCAGGAGTGGCACAGCCTCAGACAGCACAGGTGGCCCCCGAGAAGGACCCCTGCGCTACACTTGCCGTAGCCCCGACCAGGGCCTGTCATTTGGCAACCAGGTAGCCACATGACATAAAACTGCCTAGAGCCCAGAAACAGGTGGAGGGAGAACCAGCATGTCCCATTCCATAAAAATGCCACTTGAAGCCTCTAAGGTTGATCTGGAAGCTGGTAAGTCCTTGGTAACTAAATAATGGCCTGTTCCTATTTTTTTTCCTGCTTTTGTTCAAGTGAACACATCCGTTAATGCATCCTCTCAAGATCAACCAAACTTGTATGTAGAGCATCAGTAGTTTTCCCATTGATTGGGACAACACTTTCAAGAGCCTTAAAGATTAATGTCAAAATACATTTGACTTATTACACACATGACATGTATTGGGTGCCTAATAAGTGCCTTTGTTTTAAGTCAAAGACTTTATTCTGTTGATACCAACTGATACCAACTTACCAATTCTGTAATGTTCTCTGAGTGCTTCTTGCTAACGTATTTAACTTTTAAATTAGACATACACACCTGTGGAAAACCTTAATATAGGAAAGACTCTGTGATTTTGAAGATCAGTGGCTGTGTATCAAGCACTAAGGCATCTGTGTGTTTGTATACCAGGGTGGTGGAAGAATTTCTCTTTGAATTTCATTCCTTTTACTGTTTATTGAATGTGGCACACACTGTGACCAGAGCTCCTCCTGCTTCTGTGCACAATGCAAGTGACCATCTTAGCATCGATGACCAGTGTCCTGTAGGTTACCCAAGGGTCCCTGCTCTTAGCTTAGAGCTTCTTCAGAGCCCAAGGTTTGTTTGCTGCTGAGGTGGTGGATTCTCTGTTTTCTGTAGTCAGAATCAGGTATTGCAATCCAGTCCCCACAAGTCAGGTGTCTACAGGACCTCACTCTCCAAATTGCACCTTTCCCTTTTCTCTGTTCTGGTTAAACTGTGTTTTGTCTTTTCATTCTCAAAGACAGCACATAGTAGAGGCATATGCATCCTTCCTAAGATGGGGGCTATAGCTGGAACAACTAATACCATTCTGAGAGCTGCAGCTGAGCCAATGCTTGACCTCTTTCTCCATAGCTGAGCTCTTTGCTCTGTTCCCACACCATGACTTCTGTCTACTTGCCACCGGGCTTACCCATCACTTGGCTCCCAGGAGTCCACAGCTGGGCAACAATGTTTCATGAGTCCTTTCTTGGCAATGTCTTACATTCTCCCACTCAGCTGATATGCCACTGGCCTCTCACTCTTCCTCATCCAGTTCCTATATCCTGTCTCATCTGCCCTGCCAAAGAAGTCACTGTCTTCTCTCCCCTGGACTCACTGGCTCCTCCCTCCTCATCTCAGGTTTCCTTTCTGCTCAATGCTGTTTCTGCCCACATATACTGGTCTGCATTCCTGTGCCCTTCAGCCTTTAGTGGTTCCCCTTGGCCTACTAGATAACATCCAGATTGCTTTGTGTGACTTCAGGGTTCACCAGGAACACTTCTGTAAGCCTGGGCTCTGGTCACTTGATGAGCATGGATTGAGACCCTTAGTCACTGTGTCATCCTGGGGTACTTCCCTTCATCTCAGCCAGGAACATGGAAAGAAATTGGAAGGAGACTGGATGTGAGAGAACACATGGAGCAATCCCAAGCACCAAGAAAAGAAACTCTCTGGGACATACAGTGGGAAGATTCAGGAACCTGAGAGCTGTGGTAATCACAATGACAGAAAGAGAATGGGCTTGGAAATGGGACAGACCAGAACCAAGGTCCCACTTACCAACAGGGTAATTTCACTTTGGTAGGTCTCATTATTCACCTCTGTCCAGGGGGGATAGTACAGTAACTAGCTCAGAGTCATGTGAGAATAAGAGGCAGGGTCTGTAGAAGATTCGTAATAGTACTTGCTCCCTAACGTGTGCTCCGTGGAGGCTATGGTTGACAGCAACAATGGCAACAGCAGGTACAGCACCAGGAGAAGTTTCAAGGCCTGTGCTTCCTAGGCTTTCAGTCAAATCAGAATGCTGATGTCACTTCCGGGATGTTGCGTGGCTGTTGCTTCTCATCCTCCTGAGTTGTGCTCAGCAAGCCCTTTGCACATGAGAACCATCCTGCAGAGCCCAGGCAGGAGAGCACTCCTCTGGGGGATCAGAGTCTGCCTGGCAGGAGTGACCAGGTGCCACCACCTCCCCATGATTCTTTCCCAAATACTTAGTCCATTTCTGATCAGCTGGCTCCTCCTGTCCCTGTTTTACCCAGAAAACCTGATCCCTTGTGGATAGGGCTGTCTCACTCACTGCTGCTGCTCAGGCATGACACGTGTCAACAAAACGAGCAGCATCTCCAGCTGAAATCTGGGCAGGCCTCTTGCTTGCTGCGATGGAGCCAAGCTCCCGAACCAAACAGTCTCCGGCATTTTCCCTCCCAAAGCTGTGGAAAGGAAAAGCCAGCAATTTCTCCTGTGTGATATGTGTCCGCCCTCTCACCTGGTGTTTTATAAACGCATTGTCCTGGCTGTCTTTTAAGCATCTGTGCCTGGGAGGGTGCCTTCCACTGTTTTGTAAAATGCCACACAATACCACCATGATATATAAATAATGGTAATTAGGAGCCAGCCTCAAATTATTTGATGTCCAGATTGAAGGGAAAAGTGGTACTTTTTTTTTTGGTATAATACCCTAGAATTTGGATCAAAAATGGCATTCAGGAAGAAAGCATGTTGCTTCCTGTCAGATTCGTATCTGAGGTCAGATTGCACAAAATGGAAGCCTGGGTCAAGACGTGTAGGGCACAGGATTTAGTCCAGCCCATGAAGAATCTTCAACTGCCGTGATACTGATGGAAGTAACAATTTGGGAGAAGAGACATATAAATTTTTTTAACCTAAACCTCCATCAAGTATTTAAGGATCACTAATTGGGCACCACTTCCCAACCTCTGACCCCTTCTACCAGAATTTCCAGGGCCTGGCCCATCCTGGCATGGGCCTGCCTTAGCACTGATTCTTGATTTGCAAAGACTTTTGTTGTTATGGTTTCTGTGCTGAATGGGACACCACAGGTGGGAACTTGGTGGAAGCAGCATAGGACCAAGAATCAGAAAGACGGGGCTACATTTCCAGCCTTGCTGCGTTAGATAGCTGCGTGGCCTTGCACAACTACTTAAACTCTAGATTTGGATCCTCTGGTGTAAAACATGAATATATTTACAGTTATAGTAGTTTATTTCCGGGAACACTTATCACATGCCAGTGATAGTACTAAATTACATATCCTTACAAATTACATCATTATCTTCATTTGATAAACCAAGGCCCAGAAAAGTAAATTAATTGTTTAGGGTCCCACAGCAGGTAAATAATCTACCAAAGTAAGAGATAATAATTTCCTCAGCTCTAGAAATGTCAGAAGGAAGACGTGAGGAAGGACCCAGCCCCATATCTGGGAAGGTTGATGGCTAAGTAGCCCCTGGCTGAGTGGGAAAAATAGGGAGTAGGGAGGACACCGTGATGACCTTCGGTGACCAGGCCCAGAGCCTTCTGGGGTCCTTGGTCTCCCAGCCCACTTCCTCCTCTGCCCTACCTTCCCATGTCCCTGATTTCCATTTCCTTTTAGTCTCTTTTCAATTCATTCCTTTCTTTCCACAGATACCCTTCATCCAAAGTCACCTCACTTTGTGTCTAAACTTTTTGCACCACTAATCTTGTTTCCTTCTCTGTCCTTGAGTGGCAGTGACTTGGCCTCCTGCTCTAAAGAGTCCCTGCCTAAGTCACTGTCCAGGCTGCTGCAGGCAGCCTTCATACTGGGACATTTCTCTCCTGAAGCCTTCTGCGGCTTCTCACTATTGAAGTAAGGGCCACGTTCCTTCACCAGGGTCCTGTGGTTTTACAAGTGGCAGAAATTCAACCTGAACAAGTGTAAGCAGCAAACAAAGAAGATGGGTCCCTTCAGACAGGGCTTGAATGCTGGCCTCCTCCTCCTCACAGTCACACCCTCAGGGTTCTGGTGGGCATGAGGGTCCCCTTAGACAGTTCACCTGCCATCCAGAGTCCGACAGCCAGGGAGAGATTCTGCTTTAATAGGTACCAGCCGACAGATGTCCCTCCTCCTCCATTTCCGAGCCTCTCCAGCCTGTGTGGTTCTCCGTGGTACGACCCTCCACCCCCAGATGTCCCTGCTGTGTGCCTTTCGAGTTCTGCCCTGGATTATGCCGGCCTATTTTCTGATGATCTTCCCTACCGTCACTGTGTTTACCAAAATTACATCAGTTTTTCAAAGCCCAGCTAAATTACTGTTTTCTACAAAGCCTTTCCTTATCCTGCTACTGGAAATGGGTCATTCTTCCCTTTATGCCTGGCGCTTGTGCCAGGCATGTTTGACATACATCCTCTCAGTGCGTTTGAGACAGCATCTCCACCAGAGATGCTGCAGCTCCACACCTTTCCATGGGTCTCGACGTGCACGAGCCACTTCCCCCCACGTAGTCCATTTGTTTCCATGCAAACCCAGCAGAGCAGGGGAGGTCTGCAGCTCAGTTTCTTCCACGCCCACTGTGCACAGGGCTTGTGCCGGGCACAGAAGTTAGAAACATTAGTGAGATGACCATCAGGAGCTCGGCCATCGCACTTTCACAAAGGAGGAAACTGAGACCAGCACATAAGCAGCCAGCAACCTGTCCTACCAATCATCACAGTTCCTAGAGCATGCAAAGAGCTTAGCCATCCTTTCCCTACTCCTCCCTGACCATGGAATGTTCTCCTTCCCACTCGTACTTCAAGCTCTCCTTCTCTTCTAGAGTTTAATGACCCCCCCCCGCCAACTTAGGGAGGGTTCGTTCAGCTGACCATCCTCGACCTCCTCCCCCAAGTCCTGCTGCTAAAGCACCTTTGTTCTTTCAAGACTCTCGGATGTTCCCACAGTGCTTGCTACAAATGTCGATTATGTATCTTTTACAAATATGCTTACTTAATGTGTCCTCCCAGACAGTACACTCCATGAGGACAGGGACAGCCATGGCTCCTGTAGATCACATGCCTCACCTAGCCGGGAACTTCATTAGTCCCTTCACTTCTGGGCCTTTGCCCCAGACTTGTGCCAGTGGGGACCCCAGGATTGTAGTTCCAGCCAAGCAGAAAGAAGCTCTGTTGACTTAAGCAAATCAGAAACATGGGCATCTAGTGACCAGAGTTCCCAAGGTCCCTGGGTCGAGGTGTGGGTGTATACGGGATCTTGGGCTACCCAGGAAGGAACTGCCTGAGGAGGAGTGAGGGGCGGGCCGGAAGTGGAGCTCATCATGTGTTGAGTTTCCCATCTTCTGTGAAATCTTAGCCCGCTAATCCAGGCGGGCTGGATCTGACTCAGTGGGGAGAGTGCTGCTTCCTGCGAGCTGCTGTCACTGTTTTCCACTTTCACCTGGGCAGAAGTCATAGTCAGCACCTTGTCTTGCAGTGTCCTGTTGAGCTTGTGTTCCATTAAACAAATAAGCCCACCCACCGCCACAGGGCATTAGCAAAGAACAAAATACACAATGACAAGGAACAGGTGAGATAAACTTAGATTATCCTTTTAGCTCCCCAGTGAGTGAATGAATGCTAACATCAGCCTTGCACACAGCCTAGTAAGCACCAGAGTCCAGGCTAGGACTTCAGTCATCCGCGGCCAAGGTCAGAGCGACTCTTGCCTTGTCCACCTCTGCTGCACCTGTGCCCAAAGTCCCCTAATTTACATGACCACAGAGACCAAGAACCCTGGTGCTCCCTCTTTTCTTCTTCCCAAGATGATGACACTGCTTGGTATGAGAGTATTTAGAACAGGAGGGATGGGTTTGTGTTTGAACAGTGGGCAGAGGCGTGAGAGACAGTTGGACAAAGTAGAGTGCCAGAGTGAGCCAGGGTGGCCCAGAGGATGTCCCTGTGTGGACACCTGGGGAGTAGCATGAATGTATTAAGCATCTGCACAGTGCAGGCCTCAAGGGAGAAGAAAAGGCAGCACACACATCAGCCAGGGCAGGGCCACCTCCACCTCCACCCTAGTGCACACCTGAGATCAGCACCCTGCTCGGCAGCTCATGGAATAAACCTTCCATTTGGTAATTACTGAAAATTTTTCATTTTTATATTCCTACTGGAACACTTTCATTATACATGAGAGCAACTTTTATTTCTTACTACCGAGCCGGCAGTCTGTTACTATAGCAATATTGAAAGTATTTTGAGGTATTTTTATACGGTGAATTCTACAGAGTCCCTGCCAGCTGTACAGAGCATTTAGTGGAATGGGCTGTAACCCCCAAAACTGCTTCTTCTGATTGTCTCACATCTTTTGTTAACTCTTGAAAACTTTTAATCCCTGAAATGTAAGCCTTTTATTTTTAGGAAAGAAAACAGTTTGGGAGAGCTACAAATATATTCGTTAGAATAACGATATAAGATAATAGACATAAGATAATAGCTCTGAAAACACTTGGGTTTGTGGGGGATGTCAAAAGGTTATGATCATTTCTTGGGATGTTCTGGTTCTTTTTAGAAAGTGAAATGCAATCACGGATTCTCTCTGTGTGTCTGCAGGGCCTGGACAGCTTCAAAGTGAAGCAGAAATTCTTCTCTGGCAGCCAGGATCCCACAACTGCCTTCCCTGTGCCGTACGATCTGCCCCCGGAGCTGTACGGGAGTAAAGGTGAGACGCAGACACAGGGAGCTATGGGTGGCTGCATTGTGTTAGAAGCAAACAGAGCCCAAGAGATGCTGCTGGTCTCTCAGTGGGAGCCTGGTTCATGGAACCTTTGGAAGGTCAGGTTTGCAGCATTCTGTCTGGGCCACTGGAGCTGCAGCCCCCAGCTGTTTGGTCTTGAAACCCTTTGGCAGTCTTATGATTACTGAGAAGCCTGAAGAGCCTTTAATCACATGAGGCCTCATGTCTATTTATGTTTACTATATTAGACTTTAAAGCCAAGAAATTTCTATCAGTTTACTAGTTTGAGCCAAGCATGGTTGTACAGGCCTGTAATCTCAGCACTATGGGAGGCTGAGGCAGGAGGATCACAAATTCAAACCCAGCCTGGTAACTTAACCACTTGGTGAAACCCTGTCAATCTCACGACCTCAGCCTTGCCGAGAAGGCGCTTACACCACTGAGCTAAATCCCTGGCCCACAAAAAAAATTTTTCAAAGGGCTGGGATTGTAGCTCAGGGTGAGGGCCTGGAGTCCAATCCCCAGTACAGCCAAAATAAAAATAATTAATAAATTGTAATATTTTTATCACTATCTAAAATTAGAAGAAAAACTAGCAAGCAAAGGGTTATTTAGTGTGTTTGCAAGCCACCTTGTTGGCCTGAGAGCTGTTGGGCTAGACTGCTGTCTGTCTGTCAGTCTCGGTTTGTGGCATCACCCCACCTCTGCACAGTTGCATGGACGTGATCGTGAGCACAGCAGTTAATGGCTGAGTGTGGTCCACCTGCCACTCTTTGAAACTGCTGTACTAGACAATGGATTTCCTGAGGTCAGTGGTCAAGTATGTTTCCCCATAGAAAAGCCCTAGGGATATCCACAGAGGTACCCCGTCCTGAGGGCCAGCTGGCTAAGGTGCACGCCTCCAACCCCCAGCCCCACCGCCCCACACCTGCCTAGGTGCGATCCAGCCTCACAGAGGGCCAGGCCACCCACCCTCACACAAAGGAAGTGTGAAAATAGGACATAATCAATAATTCACAGCAGCAAATGCTTATCACCAGAGCCCACATATTCCTTCCTGGAGGCTAGAGACCTACATGAGTAGCGAACTTCTAATCTGCAAATTTTCTGTGCAAGTACTAAATCTGAACAGGTACAGGTTTTTTTTGTTTTTTTGTTTTTTTTGATTGGAAAGTTTTAATGATATCACTGCATTAATATTCTAAACTCTCTTTCCTCGAGAGAGCTGGCCTCGCCCTGGAAGGCCTTCTCTCGCCCATGTGGTGCTGCCTGGCCCCTGGCAACTTCCCCCCCTTTCCACCCCGGGGGACCCACTTCTTAGATCATATTGATGCATCTGTCAGAGCCTGTCCTGTCTCCTGCTGTCAGCCTGTCATCCTGCCTTACAGGCAACTTTGTACCCCTCTGATCATTCGTGTCGACAGTAAGTCCAAAGCATTCTTCTTTCTACTCTTCTGAGAGCAGCTGTGTTCTGTCGTGTCCACCAAGTTTGTTGTATGTTCATGAAGACTTTTTTCTATTAGCAAGGTTATATAGATTTTATCAGAATTTCAGGGAATCTGATCATCCTACCTGCTGCCAAAAAATTAAAATGGAAAAGCATGCCTTAAAGCCAGGCTATGGTCACATGCCAGCTCTGCAACTTCCTAAGTGGCCTTGAGCATTACCTTTCTCAGCCTTTGTGTTTCTCTCTGCACAAGAGTAAAATAGGAGTGCCTACCTTACAGGTTGTAGTAAAAAAAAAAAAACCTGAGATATCTATAATGTGCTTGACACTCTCTAGCTTAGAGTTTACATAATTGTTCTTATTACAGTGGCTACTACTACTGCAGAAAAAAACAAAGCAAAACACCTGCCATAAAAAGTTAGGGCAAGACATCTTAAAATCAAAAAAGTGATCAAATGAAGGGAAGCAGAAACTGAGAAAGAGCTATCAGGAGCCTGGCTCTGTGTAGTAGTTGCTGTTTACCCATCCTCCCCGCAGGTCTATGCTGGGCCTGCTGTGCGCAGGCACTGTCTGGATGCCTGGGTGTATTTTGGAGAACAGGCAGACCCAGGTTGTCTCTCCTCAGATTGTATACAGCCAAACCCATTAGGCTCCTGGGAGTAGTGTTTTCGAGAAGTCTTCTTCTAAAGCAAAATCACCAATTTTAAAAATTTATCTGATTGTTAAAAAACACCGAGAACCTACAGGGTATAGGATAATGACAGTGCTCAGCCCCTGCAGTTGAGATAGTGATAATTATAACAGCAGTTAGTACTGCACTAAGCACAGTGGCTGCACCAGGAGCCAATAGGAGCCTCGGACATGAATTATCTCATGGCCTCCTCCCAACTGCGTGCTATACTGTAGTGCCGCCCCCAGTTCCAGACAAGGAACCCAGGACACTCACTCAGGTTAAATTGCTACAGTCTCACAGGCAGACTGGGCCCAGCCTCCGTGCCCCTTTGCCATTGCCCTGAGCTCCCTCTGTGAGCACTGAGTTCTGGAGTTGGTAGCAAAAAGGCCTAAGATTTGCATGATCCAGCCATGCGAAGACAGGATAGAGACAAAGATATGGAAGCCCCCCACCCAGGCTGTCCTTCCCAGCCTTCTGGCTGCAGCCATGACTAGACCTCCTCATTTCCTACCAGACTTTGCTCCTTTTTCCTCTTTGCAGTTTCTCTTCTCCCTGGAATCCATCCTGTTGCCATGTACACCTGCTCACGTCCCTCTCCTGTCTATGCTCTTACCATTGTATCCCCGGGGAACCAGGCAGCATCCCATCCCCTTCTGCCTTGCGTCCCAAACTCTGACTGCAGCCAGATCATCTTTGGGATTTGATACAACTGCCCACTGCCAGAACTGCACTGAATAACTGCACATTGTTAGGCCCACCCTGGCAGGAGCCCTGGGAAATGCAGTTACTCTAACAAGTGATTCTCTTGTGTACCAGGTTATAACGGGAACCACTCCGACACTGTGACTGTCAGAACACCATCCCCATGGCATCCTGCTCCTCTGGACTATAAGCTGCATGAGGCTTGCGTGTCTGGCTTTTCCCCACCCTCTGTCCCTAGCACCTAGCAAAGCCCCTGGCATCTACCTAGCAGTCAAATGTGCATATGGTCAGTTATTATCTCATGGAACAATTTAGGATTGCTTAATTCAGTTTCCTCTAAGTCACTTTTAATGCTAATTTCCAGCAGCAGGGGGTAAAAAGAAGCAGCCACACTCCTGTCTCCCTGGCTGTTTTTCTGGTTTTCCCTCTAGTTTGTGTAGCCAGCATAATGGGTGACCAGCCACTGTGCATACATTCTACTCATTTATGAAGCAGAGCTGTGGGGGATTTACGAACAAGACAGTTACCAGACCCCATTCTTGGTCATTATTGCCTCGTTTTGAGGAAAATGAGTAAATGGAGTGGTGATCTTGATGTTGCTGGTTAGTAAATGTCTGTATCACAAACCCACTACTGCAAAGAGCATCACTATTAACTGCTTCATTCCCTCTGCCTTGGGAATGCAGAGCTGATGTTACCCCACAGAGCAATAAGACTGGTAAATAACAGAGGCCCAGGCACAAAAGGTGTGTCTCAAATAGAAGAGAAGGAGGGTTTGGGTAAAGCAGTGAGGCCTCAAAGCTGCAGCCAGCACCTGCCAGTCCCTCAGCCTCTAATGAAACAAACACACAAAGCAGGCTTAGTACTGTCCAACAAGCTTGTTAAATTAACAAAGAGAGTTTGGTTTTGAGCTTTCCAGCCTTACCAAGGCCAAAGGCAGGCAACAGTGTTCTGATAATTTGTTGCCGGCTTTGGAATTCTTTCTTGCACATCCTGCTGGGTGCTGCTGTTTGCAGGATTGCTCTGAGATTACTGAATACAATCAGCAAGGCTACTGCAACGAGAGGGTAACAGACAGCACCATTTAGCAGCTATGCCCTGGGTGGAGCAGAAAAGGCCCAGAGAAGGTGATGTTGCAGTCCACTGCGGTAGCCTGGCAGTCTTTTAGACTTAGGAAGTGTCAGTTTACAGTAAGCACTGCTACCTTTCCAAGTTGGGGATTTATTTTTAATCCTTGTGATACAGTTAAAGCTTACCCATGTTATTACAGCTCTTTTGAAACGGTATGATTAGCAGTAGTGATGCATGGCAAGAGTGATTTGTGGAAGTTATTTTCAATTTCTGGGGAAAAAAGCAGTTAAAAGAAGAAAAATTTCTGTTTATGGAGCACCTGCAATATGCCGGGAACTTTCACAGATGTTCTCATTCAGCTTTAGTAATCCCTGATGGTTGCTAATGTAATAATTTCCTGGTTCACAGGAGGAATCTGAGATCAAAGCCCACTACCTTCACTAAGACGCTGGGCGGGATGGAGGTGGCATTTGGGCCCAGGTCCTCTGCCCACTCTGCAGTGTACGGTGCCAGGCACGCCAACATAGGTCTGCAGCCCTGTAGCAGAGACTTCGTGTCTCCGCAGCTATGAGTCTTCAACGATATTGACACCGATTATTATCATTGCTCTCTCTGGCTTCCTGAAAGAAAAGGAAATCGCTGTGGTGGGCTATACCTTTGCCATGTGTCAAATGCTATGTCTCCCAGGGGCCATGATGTGTCTCATTTATTCCTCATGACAGGTCCACATCAGAGGTGCAGATGAGGAATCTGGGTTTGGCTTGGTGAAGTGACTTAGTGTGACTCAGCTCATTGACAGGGCCAAGATTCGCCTCTGGGGTCTTCCTGCCTCTCCATGCTCAGTCCTGTGTCCTAACGTGAACCTTTGCAGTGTCTGCAGGGAGTATCACTGGGGGTTCATTCAGAATGCATTCCTTACAGGTTGCAGAATTTAGCACACATGTGCTTTTATCCCATCTGTGAGTGATTTTCCTGTGATCCTGTTCAAACATGTATATATGATGTGTTCTTTCCCCAGATCGGCCATGGATTTGGAACATTCCTTATGTGAAAGCACCAGATACACATGGGAACATGTGGGTGCCGTCCTGAGCCTCCTGAAGCCCTGTGAAATTTGAGCGTAAGACGCTGACCCCCCAGACACTGACTGTTCTTGTTTGTACTTGATGCTCACTTCCCTTAGAGTCTTACTCGCACCTCTATAAAACTTTTTGTAAAGGTTGCTCTGTGAACATGGGAGTTAAACTTTTAATGGTCATTATTGATATTCCTACTAAAAAAGTGCTATTTTCTTAACTCACTTTTTTGTACTTTGGAAAGAAAGCAATTAAACTTCATGATGTTAAAAAAAAAATATGTACGGATATAGATGTGAAATTATTCTCCTGGCAGTGTGGACTCTGACAGTGGTGTCAGCAGTTCTGAGTTTACACTTGATGTTTCTTCCCTCTCCATCTCCAAAGGTGCCCTTTTTCCAAACAGGAGCTTTTCAGAGAGAGAATGCGATGCTGTGCTCTCTCACTCCTGCCCTTTCTCTGCATTCTGCGTGTGCCTTGTGGAGGCACAGGACTGAGTCTGCAGATGTTGCTGGCTCCGTGCCTGAGGCTGGTGAGCTGCTTCTGTGCCTGGCAGGGTCTGGCTGGGGCTGCCAGGCCAACTCTGGAGGCTGGGAGACAGGGCGGCAGGGCCTCCTGCCTCTCTCCAGCCGAGAAGCTCTTTTTTACATGTTGGGGTTTCATCAGGGATATTATTTGTAATTTTTTTTCCTGCCTTTAAAAAAAGGTGTAAAAAAGGGCTGGGGATTAGCTCAGTAACACAGTGTTTGCCTGGCAAGCATGAGGTCCTGAGTTTGATTCCTGGTACAAAAAAAAAAATGTCAAAAACCACAGAATTAGCTTAACCATTTCATTTAACAGATAGGAAAACTAAGACTTTTCTGACCCTCACCTCCATGTAGGTCCCAGTGTCTACACCCTTGTCACCCAGGCCTGCTGCAGTGAAGACCTAGGAGGGGACCCCATGCTGGCAGCTGAAGCCAGTGTCACAGGAGAGCCAGTCCTAAGCAGATGCCCCACAGTCAGAGCCGGGTAAAGAAGCTGAGGTCTGGTGCTCCCATGTTGAACTTTTTAGGGACCTGGTAGTGGCACCAGGTTCCAAGCAGTGCTCAGCAAGCCTCTCCATTAGGGCACCTCTAAAATGGCTGCAAGTGGGCAGCCTGCTCTGGACAGGACCCAGTCCATCAGGACAGTGGCGTCAGTGGCTGTGTGGTTTTACTGCTCGTCTGTCTGTATGACTGTCCGGGAAAGCTGGTCAGGCAGCAAGGGTCAGAGTGCCCCGAGCATCAGGCAGGCCAGGGTTTGACGCTCAGCTCTGCCACCTGCCAGCTGGGTAGCCAAAGCCAAGCTATCTCATGTCTCCATACCCCAGCCTCCTGGGTCTGAGAAGGGTACACTCTCAGCCTGCTCAGGGCAGGAAAGGGGTGAGTGGCTGTGTCTGCAGCTGCTGCTGTTACTCTGTTCAGATGGCCCTCCTGTCCCTGGCACCACTGTCTGTGCTTGCCACAGATCTGTCCCTTACCCACACCCCTAGACACCCCAGAGCAGAGGAGCCCCTTAGAGGTGGTCGGAGAAGGCTGGGCATAGATCCACGGCAACACTGGGCCACTCACTGTCGGCCTGCACTCGGTGGATGTCAGCAGCACCGCCCCTGCCTGTGAGTGTGAGTTTGGGGAAGCCAGGGCCAAGCCCACCGGCAAGGTAGAGCCAACACACGTTTCCTCCACGTTGTTACTCACACACAGGAAATAGCGCCCTAAGAATAATTGAGAACATCTGGAATGCAAAAGGAAACCCCTGTGGTCCTTTTAAATGGAATTGGTAAATTACCCAGACTACTATTTAAAAAAAAAAAAAAAGGGACCATCCAACCTGCACGGTAATTTTTTTGAAGAAATTGTGCTTCAGTTATTCTCAGACTAGGGTCCAACAGTTACTTCTTCCCACCTGAGGGACACTCGTTCCTTCTACCTATGGGAAGTAGAATGGCCCCTTCTGTCCCCTTTCCCTATCTCCGCCACCTGTTGGGGCTCATAGGAGCACTGTCCAGTGGCTTTACACACTAAGGCAACCTTTAACAACGCAGGAGACTGTGAGAAAGATGCCCTTCTCTCCTCCCTTTTTTTCCCCTGTAAAAAGTATACACTATCTTTGTTGTTTTTCAGTCTGACTTAACATCCTTTTGGGAAAAAGCACATGTAGCCTAAATGAGGTTTCCACAGGAGATAATGGATTCCAGCAGGACATGCCGAGTGCTTGAGGTTCACAGAGAACTGCCGAGTCAGACACCTGGAAACCTGAAGGGATTCACCTGCCATTCTGGCAGGAGGACTCCCCGTCCCCCACTGCTCATGAGTGGTCACAGGAAGGGAGGGGTGGTTTTCCGCCAGCTTCTTGGGCTGAGGGAGGGCGAGCACATGTTTGAAATGTTTATTGGCTTGCTCCTGGGAAAAGCTGCCTGTTTTTAACCATACGGTAATGAAAGTCCACCTTGACATTCACTGGTTTGGGAAGTTATATTTCTTCATCACAGCTAAATAGTTCATGTTTTCTGAGTTCTTCCTATATACTTGTGCTTATGTGCTTTATACTTCACCTTCATGTCACTTTTAGAGGAATATACCATTGTGAGGCCCATTTTACAGATAAGAAAACTAAGGCTCAAGGGTTAAATCACAGCATTCCCTTATCAAGCAGTGGAACCAAGACTGCTGTCTCAGAAGTGTGAGCTTTCCTGTATCCACACCACACTGTATAGGTGGAGCTTCCTTTTCCTAGACCTGGGCCAAAACCTATGTGGTTTTCCTTAATAGAAATCATTAACATTACATTACAAACTATAAATATGGTTTACGCATCAGACACATTATGTTTAAGAATCTTGGATTTGATTTGTGTCAGTCTTTTTCTTTCATGTGAAATTATGTTTATTTTCTAAGGAAAAAATGCCTACAGTTACTTCATCCATCATGAAGCCATTGTTAAATGATCTAGATGTTTTTAAATTCAAAGCTCGGAACATGTGACTTGTTCTCATTACCAAAGCATTATAGGTATACTTCTTCCTTAAGAATTCATAAATTCATAGCTCAGTGGTGTAAGTGCAAGCACTAGGTCATGAGTTTGACCCCTGGTACAAAAAAGAAAAAGGAATTGATAAACAGACAATCCCTAGGGAATGTTTGCGTCTGCGTGTTAAGTACTTTGAAGAAAGGATTTAAATAAGCAGTCTTTATCTACCTTTATAAAACTCAGAAATTTTAATGATTGATTATACAACTTACATATGACAAAGTATGACAGAAATCTGCACAGGACTTCAGTGATGGGCAAGAATAAAATTGGTTAAATTACAGTGTAGGGCTTAATCTAAGATTGTACTGACTATCTGGTAACTATATGTTATATACAGGGTTGTCATGGTTTATGTCTGTGTCCCCCAGGCCTCATGAGTTTGCATTGTGTACTTGTGATTGGTTCATTGTCTAGTGCTTGGATTGATGGTGTCAGTGCTCCACCCACTTAGGGGTGGAGCCAGGATGTGATGTAATGGCAGGAAGAAGGTGTGTCTTGCTCTTTGCTGGTTCCTGCTTGCTGTTTGCAGCCACCATATACTGTGGCCTAGCCATGCCCGCCTGCCTTGGAGCCAACTGTGTGGACTAAAACCTCCAAAAACTGTAAGAAATAAACCTTTCCTTTCCCAACTTGGGCTTCAGGTATTTTGTCTCAGTGACGAGTAAAAAGTAACTAAGACAAGGGTAGATCCCATTATGATCTAATCTATTTTCCAAATTTAACAGCCCACTTCTTCCAAGCAGTAGCCAGGACAAAAATGGACCATAGGCTTTACCATTTCTTATTGTGATTTTAGCAACTAGTAAATTATGTCTTAGGAGGCCATGCCTTATATAAGAGTATCTGCACACAGAAGAGGAGACAGATGAGATCAGGGGCTACTTGCAGCCATTTGCTCCCTGGAAATACCAGTCATGATATGACCAGGACCCAATTCTGAGTCTAGCCTGTGTCCACTGATCCCTGAGCATCAGCGTCAACTAGCAGGTACTGACCTTTCTGTGCTAGGAGCTGTTCCATGTTGTCTTCATCATAACCTTATCAAGAAGGTACCGGGAGCACCATTTACACATGGAGAAACTAAGATTTCCAAAATCACCCAGCTGGCAAAGGCAGAGCTGGGATTTGAACGCTGAGCTGTGCTGCGCTGTAAGGACCCAGGTATTTGTGCCCAGACCAAGCATAGGAACAGGCTTTGTGTACAGGAAATGAAACTGCAGATACAGGACCAGGGATGTTTTCAGCCACTGTAACAGAAAATCATGGTTGGTGTGACAGAACTAACTAGCAGGACATGAAATCAACCACAAACTCTTGCATCAATATACAGAACGGAACTGCTGAATTAGTCAAGCCAGACAGAACTGTGGAATAGGCTCCTTTTGAGGTGGAACATGGAGAGCTGGAAACTACATTGTTGGGTCTTTCCTGTTAAGTTCTCCAGATGAAGCCTGTTTTCTGCTGACTTACTAGATGCTGTGGGTAAGGCAGAAGAAGTCGGGCCAGGTGACACAAGAAAAGGCAGCATTGAAGACACAGGAGGGGCAGAAGCAGGTGGTCCAGGGAAGGGAGTGCCGGAGTTCTTTAAAACTTCTTCTGGTAACAGGTTATAGGGAAGACAAGGCCCAGAACATTGCAGGTCTCAGGACAGTCTGTATTCTACATTTTACAGAGTTCCAGGCAACTCTAGCCAGAAGCCCATGCCAACTGTTGCATCTAAATTACTCTCTATTCTTTTCAAGCCTACACAAAGTTCACAGTAAAACAGTCTGACCATTGTTTATTACTTACATATCCACGTCATTGGGTCCCATGTCTGCTGTTCTTTTTGTGGTAAGATTTTCAGAGGGGCCCATTGCAGTTTACTAAGTGGAAGGCATCTGAACCCATAGTCTTCACACTTGGCCACATTCTCAACACCCCCCTTTTTTTTTGGAGACAGTTTTATTATTTTTTGAGACTTGCAACCTTGTGATCCCCCTGCCTCAGCCTCCCAGCGTGCTGCAGTTACAGATGTGCATGACCCAGCCCAATCCAATTTCATTTTTTAATTCACATGAATAAAGAGAAGCTGGGAACGAAAAGGTAGAGGAGAAATTGCCTCCATAAGGCATTTATTATGGTCAGTACAGTCATGGGTAACTATATACTGTACATCTTCATGCTGAAGAAAGTGGTATCTTCCATTTATTAGAGGGAAAATAAGATTCAAGGTCATACAACT